TCAATAGGAATGTCCAAAAGATAAGGAATGTCCAAAAGATAAGCAATGTCGTCATATAGTTAATAAAATAGTTTTTTGTCTGTTGCTTCCAATTTTTCCCAGATTTCTTCAACTCACCTAGGTTATTTTGGCGAACATTGATATGTGTATATTTGACCAAATCTGACACGTATCCAGGTGATATACTATTTCCCTTGATAAGTTGAGACTGCTCAGACCACCTTAAAACAACTGTATTGTCTTCTACTTCATATTGAACTCTTTGTTCCATATTTCTAGCTTTCTATATGAAATCAGTCATGAATCAACAAATCTAACCACATGATTTCTAGTTCGCATGCATTTATTCAGAAAATAAATAAAAAATAAAAGACTCAACATGTTTTTCCTTGTGTGATAACCTTTCACGACTCATTTGGGTTGGATTCCACCTAGACTCCAGCTCTAAGTTTTACTATATGCTGGGTTTTGGTTCTAAGGTAAAAGGGTCAACGAAATGTCCATTGTTGGTGTCCCCTTGGACTTCCAAGCCCTCGATCCTGGTCCATTATAGACTTTTGGATTAAATTCAATTCGAAGGAACACACTTCCTTATGTCCATACGGAGGTGAAAACCACACGAGGAACATAAGGTGTGAGCTTAAAGAATAGTCCAATATCCCATATAGAGGTGAAAACCACACGAGAGATTAGTTTCTCATTCACTTAAACAGGATAAGAGCGGGGTTTTAGTTTATGTCATGAATGCAGTGCACAGTGGGTGAGGAAAAGCATAAAAATGATAAAATGATATATAACCTATTATTCTATTCTAATGACCCAAAATTAAATTTGTACACATAAAAACAAAAGTTAGTAAAATAATAAAAATAATAAAAATAAAATTTAAAAAATTATTATTTACTGCAAAGACAACTAATTAATAAATTGGTGAATGAACTCTCTTTTAAATTCCCCAGTGGAGTCGCCAAGCTGTCGAGACGTTTCTCTGCCCGGTGACGGAGAGTGCAAATAGTACACCTTAGAGTGTGTAATTAGTCTCGAAAAAGAATGTGATTATCCTCCTTGAATAAGATAAAACACCAAATTATAGAGTTGCCACCAATCTTTTAATTTGGTTAGATTGGTCACCAAAATGTTATATTATTCTAATAATATTTCTAAGAATAATATTAAAATAATACAACTCAGGTATGCTTACCAAAAAAATGAGTTTGGGAGTCGGTTACGTATGGGGAATGATTAACACCCCCATAACGCCCAAAATTGGTATCGGTATTTATTAATTAATTTCTTTGCAATAAATTATAAATTTATATTTAAATTAACTTACAAATAATTTAACATAGGTAAATACTAAATATTTAATATAGATATTATTAATCGTATAATATTATATTATAATCACATATATTAAATGATCAATTATGCATAATAATAATAATACTAAAATATAAATTCTAATAATAACTAATTATATACTAATAATTAATTATTAAAATATAAAGTATTAATTAATTAATCCTATTTCGAAATAATGTTAAATTAATGTATTAATTATGTAATTTACCATAAATTATTATATATAGGTCAAAATAGTTTTATTAATATTTAGGGACTAAAATGATATTTAACCTAAATATACCTATATACATGGTAATGACCAAAATGATAATTATTAAAACTGGAAAATAAAATTAAAATATACGAAAGCATACTTTAAGGACTAAATTGAATGTTTACAAAATTACAAGGATCTCGGATGGGATTTTTCTATTTCCAAAATTGCACCAACACTCCCTCCCCAAAACGACACCATTTGGGGAGGGATATAAATGGTCCATTAACCGGTCATTTAGGCCTAACCCTTTCATTTCCCTCATTTGCTTTTCTCTCTTAGAGAGAGAAGCTCTCACTTCTCACTAGGTTTCCCTCACCGGAGGAGGGCCAGTCATCGACCGGCCGCCTAACGCCGCCGCCGGGTGGTGGCCGAAAATATAAAATTACACCAAAATTAACCCTTTTTTCCCCTGAACATAAATCTTCCCTTATTTCGTTCTAAAAATCTATCAATCACTCTAGATATAAAGAAAACTGAAGATTTTACCTTCGATTCACGACATCTTCTGGTGACGCTTGGGCTTTCCGACGACGGTAAGACCTCTTCTGCTCTCTCTCCTTACTATTTTCTGGTCCGTTTTGTGTATTGGGTTTCCTTGGCTTTGTTTGCTTGCTCTCTGTCCCTTTCTTGTTTGTAGGTTCACCCTATTTATAGGGTTCTTCGAGTCCCCCAGTTAAAAGGTTGTACCCCGGTGAGTCACAAGAGCTACGGTGGTGACTCACCCTAGGGGTGGTGAGTTGTGCTTCGATCTGGAGAGGATATGGCAGCACCGTAGCATGCATTGGTTGGAGTGTTCGGCAGCGGAGGCATCATCACTTCTATGTCGATGCCGAAATAGCCCTAGGATTGCAATGAGCACCCTAGGGTTTTGCTGGTTGTACTAGTGACCGTTGGATTTGCTTCTGGATCGGACGACTGTGATCTTGTGCGGCGCTGGAGATGAGCTGAAACCCTAGACTGAACTTGGGTTTGCTTCTTGGGCTGCTCGGGTCAGATTTGATTATGGGCCTGACTCGACTATTAGCCTTGAATTTGTTGTAGTCTAAGTCTGGATCGGGCTCGGATTTAATTGTAACTGGGCCTTCAGGTTTAATGTGTATTGGACCTATAAAATTGTAAGAATTAATTATAATAATAAAAATAACATAATTATAATATAATAATATATAATTATATTGAAATCGAATTCGGACGAAAACGACTGTCGACAAGAACTAAGTTAATAGAAAATATAAATAACATGGACCAAATATATAATTAATCCTTCTTTTTATTAATATTGCTATGAAGGGTTACATAAAAAGGGACAATAGTGCTAACTAGCGGTTTCACTAATCCAACAATGTACCAACAACCATTATTGTCTTGTCGAAATGTTTTTTTTTTTTGTGGAAATAGTAAAATAGAAAAGATTAAAGAGATGTTATAATAAACTTTGTTTTAAACAAATGATAATAATAGTTTACTTATAAAAGTTAGCTAAGTTGAAGTCAACGGAAAGTAGAAGGTAGAATAGGAAATGCTAAAGAGATAGGGTGATGATTAATTGTGGTCAAGATGTCCATTAATAATAATGTGACAACCCCACATGAAAGCTAATGTTAAAACCCCTAATCGCTATCATAATTAAATTTGCACGCACGTTACTTTGTTTTGAGTTAATGTATATGTTTCATATTTCCAAATAATGAAAGAAATTAAAAGATTTTAAGCAATTTTGGTTTAAGATTTTGGATTTCCCACCCCTCTTTTAAGGGTAAGCTACGATAATATTTCATTTTTATTCAGTTTGGCCATTGGTTTTAAAAAGTTATTTTTGAGTTATTTATGTTTTTTATTTGTTATACTTTGATTATTAGAGTGTTAATTTTGGTTAATTTGTTGATAGTGTGATCCATTAATTTAGATAAAATATTATTTTGATTTTTACCTTAAACTAAGTATTAATTTGACCACTATCTTTAGATGAAATATCAATTTGACTCGTGAATCTGATCAAAATTTCTCATTATCCACTCATCGCTCACCATCATCGCCATCCTCTATCGTTGATGACTGTTGTACTCCAAAATTTCCAGTCCATTCCTTTTTGGCCTCCTAAATACGAACCAAATATTTGTTTCGTCAAAAAATATTATGAACTTGATAAATCTAGCCTAAAACTATTTTATTTTTAAAAAAATAAACAAAAATAATAAATTAATTATTAATATTCTTTTTTAAACATAGACAACAAAAATCTAAAACTATGTTATAATCAAATCTGTCATATTTTTATTTATGATATTATCGTGTTATAATTCTAAATTTATAGTGATATATGGTGAAATTTTAGATATAAAATAAAATTTAGTATTATCTAGTATAATTTATTCTAATTTTTATTATAAAGGAGATTCCGAATTAAAAAAACAAATCAAATTCTGCCTTCTCATAGCTTTGGCCTTTGGGGTCTGTCACAATGGACCACCAAATGCAACCATATAGTCTCATGAAATTATAATATTGTATTCCAATCGATTATAAATACGTAATAATAGATTCATATTTTAATTTAATATAAATTCATAAATGATATATTTTTATTTAATTAAATATAAATTTATAAATAATATATTCTTATTTCAATAGAATATAAATTCATAATAATATTTTTATATTTTAATTGAATATACATCCTTAAATAATAGAACATTATCCTATTAATATTATATTCTAAAGAACCCACACAACATCTTTTTAATTCAGAATATTCAAATAAATTTATTATATTTAAAGAAAATTTAATTATCAAATTCATCAACGAATTCATTATATATTAACCACTTTATTTCTTAATTTCTAAACAATGATAAACCATGCCTCACCTATTGTACATCTATATTAATACAGTGAACATAAAACCGAACCTTATGGCTTGTGGACCCTCTTTGCATAGTTGGCATAAAATAGAATCATTTTATCATTTCAAGGTAGCGTCGTTTTTCAGAGAAGCTGTAGGTGTTACCCCTACCGAGTTCCTGAAGGACCATAACTCATTAATTATGGTTAAAACAAAAATTCTTAGTTTTAATTAAAGGTTGAGATGGTCCCATCTCCGATCAAACTTCATTTCAGAAAACAGTGAAATGGGGATTGAACAAGTCAATCCAGAGGATCAAATACACAGTTAGACGGGGCTTGTTCGGTTATAGTTTGCTTCTTGTTTCCGTAAATGATGACATAAAAGCTACACGAAATATTTATTTATATCCTAAATTGTCGTGTGATGTTGTCTTTGCTTTAAGAAAGCTACTTTTATATAGCATAATATAAAGTTTATAAAGAAAAGAGATGCCCTTTTATTTTGTCCGGATCCAACTTCTATTTCGATATGTACCTACCACAACCACCATACTTGTTTTCCAAAGATTTTCTTTCTTCTCTCTGTTCTTTTTGGGGGACTGATTCTTAAAGTTTGTGTAGAGCTGTACTCTGAAAGCAGAGAACTGATATTTCTGGTGGATTATCTGTGGCTAAGTTAAGAGAATACGTTATGGGAGAGGAGGAAGCCAGTGCCTCTGAACCCCAGGAGATGAAGCAGCCTGTTAAAACAGACATGGAGGATCATGCAGCCGCACCACATAATCATGATGCAGCTGAAGAGAAGAGCGTGATGATCCCTGCGCCTGAAAGTATGTTTTTCTTCTCCTTGCAAAGACTTTGATTCCTTGTCTCTCTCTCTCTCTCTCTCTCTCTCTCTCTCTCTCTCTCACACACACACACACACACACACAGTTCTGATTTGGTCATGGCAATCTCTTATTTTGTTTTAAAACACACTTTGGGGCTTCTTTTCAAAGTTGAAACTGTGACTCTGCATATATTCTTAAAGATATTGTTTGCCTGATGCCAAAAGGAGGTTTTTGGGAAGCTTGATGAGAATTTTAAAAAATGTTAAGGGGGTTAATTACAATTATTAAAGCATGTTAAGGTCTAATGAGAATTTATAAAACTGTAGGAGAGCTTAACTCAAATTTTCAGAATAGTTGAAGGGCTTCAAACAAGTTTATCTAGATTTAACCCTACGATATGACATTATCTGACATCAAATGTTGAAACTGGCAGAAATTACCGCAGAAGAACCAGTTAAAGAGAAAAGTGCAAACAACAGAGGTATACATGTTAATTTCAAAGCATATGATGGTACATTTAAATTTGCAGAAATAATTGATTTTATCAGACCATTGCTTTCAGATTCTGCGCTTGCAAGAGTTGAGACAGAGAAAAGACTAGCTTTAGTTGAAGCATGGGAGGAAAATGAAAAGGCAAAAGTAGACAACAAGTAAGAGGCAGACCTCTCTAAATTTTGTACAAATCCTTGTTTTTTTTTTCAGGCTTCCCATAACCAGAGGGACTAAAACAAAAGATTACTTAAATAATCTGACTGACTCTGCAATATTTTAGTTTTTGAGATTCGAATCCTAATATGGAGTACTTGGTTTGATAATGTATTTAGTACCCATTTATGTTATGGAATCTCATACATGATTTAAGCAACATATAGAATGCTAAAAGAATGTTAAATCAGGGCACATAAGAAGATATCTGCCATTGAATCATGGGAGAACGCCAAGAAAGCTGCTGTAGAAGCACAGCTAAGGAGCTTTGAGGTAACATTCTCCACCATATCAACCCATAATTTCGAACATCGTTACCTCCGACATAATTTAGATATTTTCTTTGTATATTTTATTAATAATATATTTTTGACTCTAAAATTTTATGAATCAGCCTTAACATTAAATCCTGCATCCATCTATGATTAGCTCATAAACAGTGAACTAGCTTGGATTACAAGTTTCATTGATTGTGGGCACTGTGTTTAACCAAGGGCTTGCCTTTTTTTCCTTATAGGAAAAACTGGAAAAGAAGAAGGCAGAGTATACTGAGAAAATGAAAAACAAAGTGGCTGAACTCCATAAGGGAGCAGAAGAAAAAAAAGCGATGATAGAAGCCAAGAAAGGCGAAGAGTTTCTCAAGATAGAGGAGACAGCAGCCAAATATCGTTCAACTGGATATACACCAAACAAGTTTCTTGCATGTTTCAGCACTTAACATCTTCAACTGACGTTTAATAGGAGGATATTTTGAGGGTGTTGTGTGTTGGGGGGTTGGTATTTGGCCTTTGCCTTTTCTTCTTGCTTTGTCTCTGTTGGTTTGTAAGTGGGATATTCTAGTATTCATCAATATCTGTGTGTGTATATATACATGAGAAATACAGTAATTCCATTTTCATATATCATTAATATTGATGTTCATCTTGAAGACCAAATCTAAGTGCTTTTATCAAAGGGAAATCAAAGTAGTAGTTTTGTTTTTCTTTCATGCATTAGAAAAACATCTTTGTGCAGGCAAACTTATGAAAGAACAATTTTTTTGAGAAATTCTTTTACAAATTATTAAATAATATTTTTAAAACTAATTTAATCATTCAAGTTGATTATATGATTTTTTTTTTCTTCCAGATTTGTTTCTTGATTGTTATCACCCATGGAAGGCCCTGAATCTGGGTTGGGTTGCTCAATTGAGTTTAGGCCTCAAAATTAAAATGGGAATTTCAATGTAAAATTTTACATGGCATCCATACATGACACCTGTAAAACCTTTTCTCTTGCAAAATTCCAGCATAGCTGATTCCACGTGGCGAAAGATCAGCGGATGCCAAGTTGAACTGCCATGCGATTGTTACCCAAGGGATAGATAATGTTGCTCAGTTCATATCTTCTTCTTCTTCTTCTTCTGCTTGCTTCATTTCACCTTTCTATCGCTTCCACCAAACCCCAGATTTCAGTACCCAGCTTCGAAGCTCCAACAATTTTTACATTGCCATTCAACTCCATCTGATGAGTTTGCTTTCAGTTTGGCCTTAAAAATGGACTGTCTTTCTTGCGCCGCCGTTGCTTCTTCCTTCTCTATCAACAAATTCCTGCCCTTCCCTTCTGCATCATTGTCCAGAGTGAAAAGAAGGTCGAAAAGGGTTTCTTTCAGGGTTTTTGCAGAGAAAGAAGAGACAAAGATTGACAAATGGGACCAAATGGAGCTCAAGTTTGGTCGCTTGCTTGGTGAAGACCCCAAACTCACCATTGCCAAGGTACCTTTTTCTCTTTTATTTTTTTACTCAATTTAGAGTAAATTCGTTTTTTTTAAATACCCATATTTGTAATCGTTAAAAAAATGATTATTTACGACTTCTTTCAATGTTATTGCGTTTTGGTTTTCCAGATAATGGGTGGGAAAGCAAATCCTGAAGCATCTTATATTGAAATTGAGAAATCGTTTTATAAGAACAAGGGTAAAATATTGGAAATAGAGGAGGTCCCTTTTGATGTTGAAAAGAAATCACCCACCACCACCACATCTTCCGGTGGTTTAAATTTAGTTCGTCCTGTTCCGAAGAAGGGAGTCAAGTTTGAAACTGATACTAAGCCACCTGTATCTGAGATAAAGAGACCAACTTTGTCAGGTGGGAAGGCTGTGGATAGTGCAAAAAGGAGTACGGTTCTAAATGTTATCTTGAGGAAGCCAACTGTAGTTAATGAAGATGATGTAGAAGACAGGCCGTCCAGGTTTAGGATGAAATCGAATTTGTCACTAAGAATGAGGAATGAAAAGGCGAACGAACGTTTCACGGATATGACTTTGTTGAGAAAGCCTGAACCGATGTCTGTCGATACAAGCCTCGACGAAAAACAAGATTCTGATGATAGTGTTGTGCTGGAGAAAGAAGGGGAGGATAGTGTTCATGATTTTACATTATTGAAAAGGCCTGAACAGGTAAGTGTCGGTACAAAGATCGGTGAAGAGGTAGATCAATTTGAAGATTTAGAAGTTGAGGGGGAGAGATTTGAGGCAGAGATAGAAGCGAATAAGCAGGCTAATGCAACGAGGAGTAATGTTGAGGAAGGATTAGAAGGCGAGCATAGTTCGATTCCTAAGAAACCGGAGATAGAGGATGACTCCTTAATTGGTAATGCACCATGTTATTTCATGAAGTTCCTTTAGGTTGTTGCTTGGTACGAAGGATGGAAAAAAACTGAGGATGGAAAATTTGTTAATTAAATGGTTAAGATTGTAACCACTTTCTTACTTCTGGAACTTAACAATCAGACACTTCTCCATCCTTTATGCTAAGCAAAGCCTTAGTTTTTTTCTTTCTTTTTTATTGTGTAATGTGTTACTCTGATGGGTCGTTATCAACCTAAGATCAATGTTAAGCTGTTAACAACCCCCTAGCCCTCTTTTTCTCCTCTCTTGAAAAGCTTGTAAGTTCGCAACTATTGCCTTATCTAGGTAGCTTAGAAACCCTTTAATATGAAGAATTGAATATTATATTTTTCTGTGTTTTTTCAAGGAATGCAGTCCGCTGAGCTAATTAATACGATGTCTTCTGAGGGATCTGGCACTGGTCTCTCTTTGGAAGCTGCACTACAGGGGAAGCCTAAAAGGTGTCAAATATATTCTTAAAATTAGGACAATTTTTTCGTTAGTTGGTGGAGTTGTGATTAACAAAATAGCTTTGTTATAGGTTAGATCATCCTGTGAAAGAAACATCAAACTCCGATAAAATAGAAACTGTTCCCACCAATCCTGAAGATTATGATGATCTCCCTTCTGTATCACCTCAGGAGGTCAGCTTAGTGTAGCGTTTTCTCCTTAAGTTAGCACTGCACATTTTTGAAACATGGCTTGTGATGTCTGATCATCTTGGCATCTCATACAATTGTAGGATAGTGATTGGACCAGGGCAGAAGGTCTGCTTAAGAGTGGGCGTAAGGCTGAAGTGGAGTTAATAAGCACTAGCACTAGAGGTTTTGTTGTAAGTGAAACTCATCCTTCTATTATGTCTATTTGCAAACATATACTTCTTTGTGACTTGATTTTATTGCATCATCATAGGTGTCTTTTGGTTCTTTAATTGGATTTTTGCCTTACCGCAACCTGGCTGCTAAATGGAAGTTCTTAGCTTTCGAATCCTGGTTGAGACAGAAGGGTTTAGACCCATCTGCTTATAAGCAGAATTTAGGAGTCATTGGGAGCTCTGATCTAATGAATAAGAACACTTCTCTGGATTCAAACTCAGATTCAGAAAACAACCAACAATTTGAGGGAAAATTTTCACCAGATATGAAATTGGAAGATCTTTTGAGGATCTATGATCAAGAGAAGCTTAAATTCTTGTCCTCATTTGTTGGTCAGGTATGAAGGCTTTGTTTTAGTTTTTTTTTTTAATTGTCTTCTTTATTTCCATATTGTATATTGATGTGCTTAATATATACAGAGAGTCAAAGTAAATGTGCTAATGGCTGACAGAAAGTTCAGAAAACTTGTAGTTTCTCTGCGGCCAAAAGAAAAGGAAGAGTTAATAGAGAAAAAGAGAAATGTTATGGTGAGTAGCCATATTGTGTTTCAATATTTCCTTAAATGTGATATATATTTATATATTGCTTCATTTCTTGTCTTCTATGTTATTTATTTAGTTTTTGCTATTTCACTTTTTCATTAAAAATTGAATCTTTTTCATAAAAAAATGAGAAACTGAACAAATATTTTCAACTTAAGGACATGACTCTGCTTGACAAAACAAGAACTCTTCAAGCTCTTATGCCTGTTGTTGTTGTAGGGAAAGCTTCGTGTTGGGGATGTTGTAAAATGCTGCATCAAGAAAATCACTTATTTCGGTATATTTGTGGAGGTAAGCGATCTCTCAGCAACAGGCTTTTCAGCATTGTTACAATTTATCAGCAATTGCTATAATATATGATCATCTTTTAGAAGAGAAGTTTTTTTTAGTCTGGGGCTCGCTACAGTGTCATGCACGTAGGGATGGGACCCGAACCCAACACCCGATCGGGTCGGGTTTTTTAAAGGTGATTATCGGGTCGGGTCGGATTCGGGCTTAGGGTGAAAAATACCCGATCCGACCCGATCTGAAAAAAATATAATTTTACCTTATATATTTAAGAATAATTACAATAATTCCCCTCTCTCTCTCTCTCTCTCTATATATATATATATATATATATATATATATATATATATTAACTAAATCACTGTTTTTATTAAATAAAAATAATATTTTTATTATTTCGGGTCGGTTCGATTCTGGTTTGGATTTTATCTCAAAAAATCGGGTCGGGTGGAGGGTATATATTTTTCGGGTCGGATGAAGGATGTAAAATTTTCGCTCGGGTCGGGTTAGCCGAAACCCGACCCATGCCCATCCCTACATGCAGGTTTTTGCCCCTTCGCGTTTCATTTCCTTTCTTATGAACATATGCTACCTTAGCATGAACCCACAACATCCATGTCTGTGAGATTGTAGACCAGTTAATGTTTTTTTTTTTACTCAAATTGTGAATATTTTGTATACTAAATAGGTTGAAGGTGTTCCTGCTCTTGTTCACCAGACCGAAGTTTCATGGGATGCCACCTTGGATCCTTTATCATATTTCAAAATTGGTCAGGTATTTGAGTTTTCTGGCAGATTAAAACCAGAGTCTCCTTTTATTTTAAGGAATGAATGACACAAATAAGCAAGCCCTGGCTTGGTTGATATTCAGATAATCTTTCATGATTTCAGATTGTCGAGGCTAAAGTGCACCAATTAGATTTCACACTGGAACGCATATTCTTATCCTTGAAGGAAATAACGGTAATCAACAAGCAACTAGGTTGACTGTTAAAGCAACTCGGTTATTTGAGGCCATTTTTTTATTTTGTTGTGATCCTCATTTTTATTATTTTTTTCACACGACAGCCAGATCCACTGATTGAGGCCTTGGAGTCTGTGGTTGGTGATCATGATAACTTAGATGGAAGATTACAAGCAGCACAAGCAGACTCTGAGGTTTTTGTTTATAGTTATCCTTCTTGTATTAGCATTAGGTATTTACTTGTTTGCAGGCTAATACTCACACACTGATATTAAATGTCGACAGTGGCCTGACGTAGAATCACTTATCAAGGAGTTGGAGCAGATTGAAGGGATTCAGTCAGTTTCGAAGGGCCGGTTTTTCTTGAGCCCTGGTTTAGCTCCAACATTCCAGGTACGATAGCTTCGACATATCAACTGCACGCAGTAGGCCAAAG